GTGTGCTCTTCCGATCTCCCCAAAACCCCAAAACCCCAAAACCCCGAAAGATATTATACAAACAAATTTACTGATCAATTAATTAATAAAAATTAAGTTTAGAATAAGCTTTTAAACCTTGAAATGGAGTCAAAGTAAAAGAAAGATCTAACACTTGAAGATATGCCAAAGGTGGTCAGAACTGCAAGGTATGATTATTTAATACTTACAATTAATGTACAGAGAGCATGCTATTCTTGGAAATTATAAAAAATCTCTTGGTACTTACTAATTAGCAGTAGAATTCTTCAATAAGTATAAACTATATTTTTGAATTGTTTAGGCATATTGAAAGTTAGGCTCAGGATTATTATATACAAGATAGATGGAAGCAATTTCTAGTCACATTGTAATCAGAGATTAGCAAAATAAAGGAATTGTTTGATCAAATAAATCTTTTGAGCTAGAAACCAGTGAAGTAGAATAATAGTCAACTGAGTGATAACAATGCTCATTTCTTCATGAGAGGAGGTAATGGAGGTCCGATTCAATAACAAGATGAAAGGCCAATTCATAGAAAACCTTCTGATCATAGCTTGGGTCCATAATAGCATCACTATGCAAATCTTAATAGCAATCAAAGAGGCTAGAGAAATCAATCTTAAAGTAATCACGGAGGAATTGGAGGAGGATATTCTGATCCTCACTAACAAACTCCTGACAAGGGAATAGGAAACCTTTACGATAATGTCATTAACAGTAATGGTGGATTTGGTTAGAACAATTTTGCAAATGATGTCAAGAAAAAGCCTTAATATGGAGGAGGACTGCAAAAGAAGCCTACCTCGGGAGGAATGAAGCCCCCAGCACCTATAGGGAATAAAAATAGGAACTATGATAAACCATGGGCAGTCCCAGAAAAGAAGAAAAGCTCTGAAGCAGGAGGTGAGCATGACAAAAATTCATTTTTGCATCATGTTTATCCAGATGGGGTAGGGCCTGATGCTGACCTCATTATGATGTTAGAAAGAGATGTGATAGATAAAAATCCTAATGTCTCGTTCGATGATATTGCTGATCTCTAAGAGAGTAAGAAAATGCTGTAAGAGGCAGTGCTATTACCTATTTTGATGCCTCAGTTCTTCAAAGGAATAAGACGCCCTTGGAAAGGAGTGTTAATGTTTGGTCCACCAGGCACAGGAAAGACTATGCTAGCTAAGGCAGTGGCCACACTGGGAAAGACTACATTTTTCAATGTATCAGCAAGTTCCTTAGCTTCAAAATGGAAAGGTGAAAGTGAGAAGTTAGTGAGAATACTGTTTGAAATGGCTAGATTCTATGGCCCTACTACTATATTTATGGATGAAATAGATGCTCTCGCTGGTAGAAGAGGAGGTTCTGAGGAGTCTGAAGGAAGCAGAAAAGTAAAGTCAGAATTACTAATCTAGATGGATGGTGTAGGATCAAGTAGTAGTGCAGGAGCCAATGATAAGTAAGATGATACTGAGCAAAGAAAAAATATTATGGTCTTAGCTGCTACCAACAGACCTCAGGATTTGGATGATGCCATTCGTAGAAGACTTGAAAAGAGAGTTTACATTCCACTACCAGGAGAGGAAGGAAGAAGATAGCTATTCAAGATTAACCTCAAGGACATCAAAGTAGTTGAAAACATTGATTGGGAGTCCCTTGTTCACAAAACTGATGGGTACAGTGGAGCAGATATTTCAAATGTATGCAGAGAAGCCGCAATGATGCCCATGAGAAAGAGAATACTCGCTAAAGGCTTTGATCTTAATAATATTGGGAATATGGCTGAAGAGATTGATATTCCTTTAACTATGACAGATTTTGAAGAAGCTATCTAGAATATATAGAAATCTGTTAGTGCAGAAAGTCTCAAATAATACGATGCTTGGATGAGAGAATTCGGCGCTTTATGAAATATCGTTCTGTTAATTATCAATAAAATTAATCTCAAATTCGCTAACTTAATTATAATTAAACTAAATTAATAACCATAAAAATGAGATAAATACTTTACAAAACTCGCCCTCTATTCACAAATACTCCTTATAGAGCCTTTTCAATGAACAAATTTTTTTCACGAGCAGGAGGCTGCATAAAAAACGAATAAGCCTTCAGAGCGTTACAATCTATTTGTGAGGATTAGGTATCTAAGATTGAAAAGATTATTCCAGACTCAGATCCAACGTTCCTCCTACAGATTATGTTTAATTGCTAAAAGATTGGGATCAAGGACAAATTTTTTTACGATTCAATTATTCAAAATCTAGATTAAAACATGACATAAATTACCAGGTCTGAAGACTTCATAATTATGGGAGCAGCTCTAGGCATGAACCCTGAGATTTTGAGAGACAATGCCCAATTCGTTCTTAAATTCTATGACCACACCTTCAAGAATAGATTTTTAATAAAGCAAAAGGATAAGTAAGTGCTTAGCCGCCTCTTTAGTGAGATGAACCTATCAACTATTAACAAAAAGCATCTTGACATACATTAGGATGTTAAGTAAAAAGATGCTTAGAAATAGGCTTTTGAAATATATTAGATTTCTCCTCCTGAGAACTTACTTATTGACTTCGATTTTGAAAATAGAGTTGTGATAATTAAAAACAAAAAGACATAGCAAATGATTATTTTATTTGGAAGCGATCATCACTGTGAAGATAGCATTAACTTTGGCAAATAGCTAATGGATACATTTAAGCCCTAGACTATTATGGTTGAAGAAAAACCAATTGAAACACTAAAGTAAGAGTTATATGAAGATGATAAAGGAAATATATACCCTCAGATAAATGATTTGATTTCTGTACTTAAGGGATAAGAATACAAATCCTTTATTTAGGAGTCTGTTATAGAAAATCCAGAGAATTTTACTTATGATAGCAAAAAGAGCATAGTGTATGCAAATAATTATAATGGGGTAGGAATAAAGATGCCAACTGATTTTCCTACATATGCAGCTTATCATCTCGAGAAGTAAAGCAAATTTATTGAAGATGCTAAAATTGTTCTATGTGATCTTTCACAAACAGAGATGGCTTCATCATTTATACTGAGTATGGATTAGAAAAAGAGAAGATTGCTGCAAAGTTAACTGAAATATCAGATCCTATTAGATACAACTTCATGGATTTCAGATATTCACAGATCAGGATGTCAGACCTGTGCATCGTTTTTAAATAGAAATAAGGTGTCTGCTTACCCAAGCAAGCCAGTCTAACTGTTATCATAGAAGTAAATGCCATCTTTCAAGGATAGAGAACAATCGATTGCCTATTCCATTTTAAGAACTATGGTTGAACTTCCTAAGGAGCAGAATTTTGTAGTCTATGTTGGTAATGACCACTTGCTTGGAGTTACAAAATAAATGGTGAACTTTTTAAACAATGGGGAGTAGTTTATGTCCTATAAAAGACCTCCATAGATTATTGGGGACAAAGAAATGCTTAAGAATGATGAACTCAGACATGAATATTTGAAAAGACAAGCATTGAGTCAAGTCATTTACGATGATAATGAAATGATGGATGCTATTCCTCCATTTGTGCATACTAAGGAAGATTTATATTTCAAGCAGGCCTCGGTACTTAAACAAATGAAGAATGTTATAATGGGTAACTTCGTCAATGACATAGATGACTTGCACATTGAATTCAATAAAGACGAAGACTATATTAAGGAAAAGTAGGGTCATAAGAGTCAGTAGCTAGTTGAAGATGATAAATATCTAAAAGAATATCTAGATAACAAAGGTGGGAGACTAAAGTGTCTATCTTTAAGTTATATGCAAGGCAATTTCGCCTATCTGCATTCTTAAAGACATCACTTAATTGATGAAAGCTTCAAAGAACTGGGAAGAAAGTCTATTAATTTGGTAAAAAATATTGATGATTTATCTGAGGAAGAAAATAATAATTAGTGATGGGATTTCGAGAATTAAAGCGATAGTTTTGTTAAGATAAATGAAAATTAAAGCGTCAAATTTATTTAAATAGCTGTTGATTTAAATTTCAATATGTTTTAGTAGATTGATGGAACAAATTGGCATTCAGGGGTTTTGGGGTTTTGGGGTTTTG